AAGAGCCATTTCTAGCCTGTCAACAATCGATTGATTTAAAGAATAATCAGGATTTTCTATTAATATTTCAGCAAAGATATCGAGTAATTTTTGTTCGACGTCTATATTGAAGCTATTTTCTATGGGATTCATCGAAATTGGAATTAAAAATAGTTTTTCAATTGATACATGAGAAAGTGTTTGATTTTTCTGTAATTCTTGTCGTATATTATTTAAAAATTCATCAAGAATGGTGATGTCAATACTCGTTGTCGATTCTATTTTTGAGAACAGTGTTATTTTATCTTTCAATTCTTGTGAAATAGTTTGATTTCTAGAAATTGTTTTCAAGATTTCTAATGGTCTTTCGTTTTTATCTTGAACAAAAATAAGTGATATAATATCATCCGTCAGTTTTCTTTCTGCTTCAGTCATTTCATGTATCAATCGACAACATAATGAATTAATCGTTGCCGATTTAGTACTCGCCAGTAAAACACGAATACTATTTAACAATTTATCCGGAATATCTTTCTTATTCGAACACTCAAGCAGAATGTCCAATGCCTTGCTATTCAACTTTGGACAATTTTCAATTATAGAATTTATTTGATCAAAATTTTGTTCTAGTAATTTAGGTTTATCAAACTTAGCTAAAATATCTAGGAATTGATCGTTCGAGTCATACTTAAGATTACAGAGTTCAAGTATACATTTTTGATCCTGTTCTAGCTTAGAACTATCTAATATCTTGTTAATTTCCTCTTTCATACTTTTATCACAGATGGTCTTTGTTACTAGACTTAGCAGAACCTCTATGCTTTTATCTTGTAATTTAACTGTACCGAGTGAAGTAAGTTCGCTAAATCCACTGATACTTTTACAAATAACGTCTTGATTACCCGTTTCAAGAGCATGAATTAAAGCTGATTGAACACGATCGATTAAACTAATGTCGAACACTTGAGAATGTGTTTTTGAAGAAGAATTTTTAGAATCATATTCAAAACAGTCTACTTTTTTAATTACTGAACAAATAGCAGATAAGTATTGTTGCATGATCAATGAATTATCTAGACTTGAAAATTTATCTAAAATTTTAGAAATGATGTTTGGTGATAAGTTTTCTCCTTTTTGTCCTTGAAGAACAAAAATGAAGAGTACCTGATCATACATAATTTTATATTCTAACGCTTTCTCCAATTTCAATGAGAGTTCACTTGGAATATTTTGATTGTTTTTAACTAAATTTTCAAAAATTTTAATCAAATAATACTGTTGTTGTACGGGATCAAATTTTTTTACAAGTTTATCAACTAACTCATTAGGTATTATTTGTCCATTAATTGAAACATTATGTAAAACTTTCAAGATTTTGTCAACAAGTAAAAACAACTTATCGATTTGTTTATTTATTTCTATAAATCCATTAATTGTTAGTATTTTACCTTCTTTTGTTTTTGTTTCTAAATAAGCAATAGCATAATCACTATCCACAGAACGTGAACTAATATTAAGAGCAGCTCTTTCCAATTCTAATATGTCAAATATTTTATCTGATATATCTTGATTATCGTTAGCTGTATCGAGTAATTGAAAAGATTTTTTTCTTCGTTGTTCATTGTCAGATAGATAAAGTGTATCGACAAAAATATGAAGAATTTTATCACTGACGATTTGTTTGTTTTTAATCATGTTTTCAAATACTTCTAAAACTTTATTAGAAAATTCTGGTATATCAACTACATGCTCTAATGCAAAAATTGTACTCTCTGGTATAGGATGTCTCGCCGCTGAATAATGACGAAGTATGTCGATTACGTCTGCTTGATGACGATTTTCAAACAATAAAATATGGTCAAAAATTTGAAATACATTATCTTTAAATTTTTCAACTTTATCATCATTCGACAAAACATATAAAATATTCTGATTGACTTTGTCAGCAAAACTTTCTTCGCCTAACTGTAAATCTTCGAATACATAAATTGTTGGTAAAAATTCAATATGACTTCTCATAATTGGCTGCTTTGATTTTGACAATTTCGCTAAACCATCGGCATATACAACGATTGAGTAGACAGAAACATCAGGTATTCTATCTTCTGCATGTTCTCTTAATTCAAGTAAAACATCATTTTTAATACGATGAGTCTTTGAAGTCAAATATAGAGATTTTGCTGATAAAATGCGTGTTTGTTTATCATTACTATTAAGTGCCTTAGCGAGGTATTCAAGACTTTCCTCGGTGATTTTTACATTGTTTTGCAAAGACTTGACAAAGATCTGAGCTACTATGGATGAAATCGATCGACAATCATAGGTAGCTTTTGAGCTTTGCTCAAAAGTAATATCAGTTCCTTCTCCAACTATAATCCAGTCATCTAATAATTTAATTGACAGTTTATCAATCTTTGTTATTATCTGTTTTTCAGAAACGATTCCCAATGTGACAATAATAAAATTATCAAATTTATCATCGCTACTGTTGATATTTTCAATTAGAGTTTGAATAACAAACTCAGGCAACAGATGATTTTTTTCAGCAGTCAAAACTATGGATATCAATGCTTTAACTTTTGAATCACTACTAACCTGTGGATCATTTATGAAATAAACATAATTTTCTAATTGAACGTCATTCAAACCTTTAGTATAACTATGTTCAAGATAATTATTGATAATCAAACAAAAACGTGCTTTCGTTTCTGCATTTAATCTAGAGTCTCTGAATAAATCACTTATTCTTGTTATTAAATCTAGATTGAATAATTCTTGACATCTCTGTTCAACCTCGCTCTGTTGATATACATAGTTTATTGAAACATCGATATTGACATTTTGTTCTATGTTTTCTAAACATTTTTCGAAGACACTTTTGTAATCTGCATCATTACTAATCTGCAATATTTTTATTATAAATTCACGGAATTCAATATCTTCATCTACGAGACATTTTTCAATCTTTCTCAATTGTCCTTCGTTTAAAATTGCGCTATTTCTTCGAGCACAATTATAAATAGCTGAAATTGCTGCGAGTCTGATTTGAATGATTTGAGATGAGAAAATTTCTATTATCTTTCTTGGATCTGTAGTCTCTTTTTCATTGATTTCATGTAGCGCATTTGCAACTATATCTGGAGCAGATTTAAATATTATTATCGCTGGAATCATTAAAGTATTGATAATTTTCCAATTCTTTCTTGTATGATTATACGATGCAATGTCATTGGCAGCCTTTGCTTTTTTATTAGCATCACCAAAAATTTTTATTTCTACATTATCTAAAGAATCTATACAATCCATTAGTACTACTATAGCATCTCCATGCAACATTTGGTTTTTTGATATTTCAAGAAATATAGCGGCAATCATTCTATCTATAAATAGCGGTAGTAAGATACTATATACATATTGAAAAAGCATTCTCTGTGTAGGAACAATACAACATTTTGCTGAATATGCATTTTCAGGCAGCCATTTTTTCTCAGGTCCTATAAATTTGGATGGTAGGTATACATCCTTATCCATTTTCTTCAATGTTTTCCCACTTTTTATTGTGTTATAAAGATGCTCAACTTCCTTATAGGTATTCCGAAAGATTGATGTGTCACTTCCACCCTGCTCTGGTATAGTTGGAAGACTTTCTATGTTAGAGTTTATCGTAATTTTCTTATTTAAATTCTTAAACACATTAACCGAATTTAATTTATCAGTTGATTCTTCTGATTCGGTGTTTTTATGTTTAATCTTAACTGTTTGCTGACTTTTTGTGACAAATTTTTGAGGCATTTTCTTCAAATAATTAGCTGATGTCTTTATTCGAACATAAGAACTTTGCCGATAGTCTAAATGATTACCGAAGAAATGTCTTTGTAATTGATCATTTAAAAAGATTACAGAAGTTTGATTGAGTTTATTTTCTGATCCTTCAATAATACTATTGATTTCGTCGATCAAATTTTCGTTTATTATCTCTTTAGAATTTTTAGTAAAAGAGTTACTAAGTTGATAGCTCAATGCCCAAACAAACTCAGACTTTACCTGAGCATCACTATTTTTCCTTAAGACTTCCAGAAGTTCTTTAGGTTTCATACTAACTGTGTTATTTTTAATAGAATATTTTATTGTTTGAGCAAGTAATAGTTTAGTATGATCA